AAAAACTTCTAATCAGTAATAAATCTTTTTGTTACCACAATGACATCAGACTCCACTTCCCGATCTTGTCTCTTAGTGTGTATCTTTTCCAAATGGACCAATGCCAGAAAATGGAACAGATATTAAAATGGCCTGTCTCTTGTATCATTCCACAGGAGAGTGCCAGTGGCTCCATTTACAGCTGATAAAGGACATGCAAACCTTTTGTAAGTCCTTATTCCCAGTAGTGGACTATGCCTACTGCACCATTCCCACTTACCCCGGTGGGCAAATTGGATTCATGTGCTGCAGTAAAAACCCTGTGAGTCTTTTAGCTGATGCACCACTAAATGCCTGACATTATACTAGTAGCTTACATGTGTCATTAAGAGTCATCACTTCTTCTTTTATTTAGGAAACAAATTTCCGTGTGCCACTGAAAGAGCTGTCCAAAGATGATATTGAAAGTATGAATCTTAAATATTACAACACAGAAATCCACAAAGCTTCATTCATCCTGCCAGAGTTTGCAAGGAAGGTAAACATGACTATATATATATATAGACAAATTGTACTGATAAAAATTAATCCACTCTGACTTATAAATCATTTTTTGTCAGGTTTTGAATGATGCATGACCACTGCACCCAGACCCAGAGGCATCTGCACGTCAAAGTTCAGCACTCGCATGAGAGGTCTCTGAATTATACAGAGGAAATATGTCTTTTGTACAGGGAGATCTTTTCAGTCTTTCACTGTTACCAGTCTGTTTCATTCAAACTGTTTACTTTTTTTATTCTGTCAACTTGATCAAACTAGTGAAGGGGCGATGTATAACCATGAAATCTGACCTCAGACTAAAACTAGTGTTCCCTTTATCAGTGTCATTGTAACCACACAGTTTGTACAGTGTATGCAGTATATATATATACATGTATTGCTTTTTATTATTAATGTAACAAATTTACCTCCTCCTTTACTGTATCATCAGCCATACCTGTTTAACTCATCCTTGCTCATGAACCTTATAGTGCCTCATAAACCTGTGGCTAAAAGGTTGTCCTATTCTGAGCAGACAGGGAAATGGTTAAGAATTATTACAGCATTTTAAGATGTGTTATCCAGCAAATAGATATATTGATGGGATTATGCAACTGTAACTTGAGACACTGTCTGGCCATATGTGCACCAGGTGTGAGACTAGTATCAATGTAACACAAAGGTTAATCATTGCAGTTGATGTAATATGAGTTATTGTAGTAAAACATTTGGATGTTTGATGCTAATGAGCTATGAAACTTTTTTTTTTTAATAATTATGTTAACAAATTCGTATAATCAGTGCACCTGGACATTTTTTCATGGTCTATCCTGAATGCTTTAAAAAGTTATCCTCAAGTTAAGAATTGTACTCTTTGTGCAGTGCTATATAAATAAAATGGGTAAATTAGTAATATTCATAAATTAGTAGTATTATGTTTAGTATGGTTCCAATGATTTTTTTTTTAAATATATACTGCAATGCCAATATTTTACCAAAAGATGGCACCATTCAACACTTCGTGCAGTGTGTGCAAGGTGAGTTGACTCTAAAGTAGCAGATGAAATCTATTTTAACATAAATAATTCTCCATCTTTGAGAACTCTCCTGTTCGTTTTTTTTTGTCATGCTGAAAGTGCGCATGTTAATGATCATCAACTGAGACTTTAAGCAAGCTCTCAATTTTTTTATTTTTTTATGAAAAACATAACTAACTTATCATTGTAATATACTGAACAGATACATCCTGTTCAACTTTGACAATATGGTTTAGTTTGTTTTTTTATTCTGAGATATGGCTCCTTTAAGAGACTTTTTCCAGTTAAGATCAGAGCAGATGACTAGAACAGTTTGCTCATCTGTACATTCTGATCTGACCATTCCGTACCGTCGGGACAGTTGGTTTTCTCATACATAGCAGCAAAAAACGCTTCCAGCTGACTTTAAAACTTGCACTAATTACCATACTTTCTCTCATGGGCTAAAACAATGTCTTCTGAGCAGCAGGCATATCAACATTAGACTTCTTCAAACATTTACACATTCTGACTGATTGTATTATAGATGTATTGGGTAGACCTAAAAGTGTTGTCTTTGACTTATGACATTTGTCTTGATGGTCATGTTGTTGATGAATTGTATTTTCGAGGATAAAAATACTGATGAATTTGGTAAATGTTCATTTTAGAGGATATTGATGACAATGAAATTGAGTATTTTTAGAAGAAAATTTTTAATTTGAAATCTTATATTTATGGAAATTAGAATGAATTGAATTTGATTGCTTTAAATGTTTATTGATGTATTGGATAGTGGTTATCTTAAGGAGACACTGTTAATGATGAAATGTTGTTAGAGTTGGTGTAATGTAAATTGTTTCTTTAATGTATTTTATACCTGCCCAAGGACTGCAGATGCAAAGTATCTTGTTGCAAAATCTGGAACAGAGCATTTTTTCTCTCTGAGAATAATATTTTCTGTGCAATGTCCTTGCTTTAAATAAATAAATAAAATAACATTTTTAATAATTTGCCAATTATGGACAGAGTTTCAGGACAGGTATCCTCCTGCAGAAATCTGATATTTTCTGCAAAAACTCTAGGTAACTTTTAAGTCTTGTTTTTTCAACACACCCATAGGCTTCACACTAAAATCATGATATATAGATGTTTGAAATGTCTGCTAATCTTTGGTTTGGCCCCAGGTTTTCTAACATGAAGAGGTCGACTACACATCCAAGATTCGGACGCACATGGAGCCAATCCATTTGAGGATGACCTTCCATCAGCCCTGTTTGCCGCAGGTAGGTGTTCTCAAGAGTTGAGTGACAGGCAGAAGTCTGCCTAATATAAATAATAATACTAGGGCTATAGCCTGTCGCACTCCCTCACTGGCAGACTAAACATTAGCCTATCCAAATTCACTATGACCATTTCTTTTGTCCATCAATGTTCCAAGTAGCCTAGCATTGAAATGAGGGCTGAGAATTGTTTACTTTTTAAAAACATTAATAGTCTGTGCTAGACATGTCAAACTCAGGCCCAAGGGCCAAATTTGGCCCGCAATATAAATATATTTGGCCCGCAAGATCAGATCAAATATGTATTAGAGCTACCCTGCCGTCTACAGATAAATTATAGAGACAATGTTCATTTAAAATGTTGTTATTATTTTATATTATTGGCCCACGACTTAGTCCCAGTTTTGAATTTTGGCCCTCTGTGAATTTGAGTTTGACACCCCTGGTCTAGTCCTACTAGATTCTAGACTTGTACAGATCTTTGTATGGCCATGTAACCTATAACCTGTATTAGGTCTGCTATGTTGTTTCATAACAAAAACACAAATATACAACAGTGTTGTGCTATTATTATACTAATTACTTACTAAACTTCAATTCAAAATGAGAGGAAAATGTTGAAATGTTTTCAAGTGATTCTAAGCTTTTGAATTGACAGACAGTCTTGAAGAGTAACTTTAGAGCAGCCATGTTTAATTCAATAGCAGCTGTAACAAAGCGGAGGTATTTTAACTGAAGCTACAGTCATCTCGAGTGATCTCAAAGGAGGATTTAATGTACGATTCAAAATCATGTGTTTCTTCTAATAAGATAACTAAAATGAGTTACAGTATTCTTCAAACATGGACAACAAATTACAGTTTATCTCTTTTATCTGTGTGACTGTTGCTTTGAAGTCCACAATAATGGGCTCTATTTGGGGTACAAACTGAGCAGTGTATTCTCAAACGTATTCACAAGGAAAGGTAAAAATCACAAAATGTTCTTCCTCATACACATACAGTCATAAATAACAGTCTGAAAGTGTAATGCATTAATGATAATAATGTAATGCAGTAATGATACTAAAATTCTGTCTTTATTTCAGTACTAATGAAGATTCTTTATGCTTGATACTGATTTTGAGTCTACAGTTATTATAATAGCAGTATAATATAATAAGAATTAATATTATATTTTTTCCATACAGAATAGGTAAGGTACAAGTGGTAGGCTTTAGCTCTGATATGAATCAAGACTATTTGTAAACTATTCTGTAAATGTCATATATATTCTTACTTAAGTGTTTCTTAGTATTAATATTATGTAAATTTGTATTTTTATTTTTTATCTAATATCTAGTCTCAATTACATTTTTGACAACTCTATAATATACACCATATACATTTCATAATATAAAAAAATGAAAGAATAGATCCCATTTAGTTATCGGTATATGTATCTGTCTATTCCAATCCTGATTTCACATTTTTTCCATTTGCCTACATCCTTAGAAAGACAAGCCTCAGCCTGTTGAATTGCCCCACCATTGTAACTATACAGTTGCTTTCCATGATATCTGATTGAGGAAGAACAATAGCTTTTAGTGGTGCCTTTTACTTGAGCATATCTGTCATGCGCGATTCCCCCAAAGGCTCTTCCTCCTCCTCCTCCTCTGTGCCCAGTGTTAGACCGCTCAATTGTAATCTGCAGGTGTCAGAGAGAGGAAACCACATGTGAGACAAGTACAATGGTAAACAATAGGGCTGTAATCACGGCGGGCAGGATAGCTATGACCACTCTGTACCTCTCCCATTTAGAATTCTGACCCCTTTCTTGTCGTGGAGGCTTGTGGGGTCATTGCGTGATATTACTTCTGCAGATGAGTCTACCTAAAAAAAAAAAAACTTGAATTTGAGTAGCATTTCGAGACATCAAAAGCTCAGTGGCGTGTCTGTTTATCGGAGATGCTTGCCACTTGAAACCCACCACATCAATTTGCCAAAAAGGCTAACAACTCAATGGCTCAATTTGTTCTGTCCTGACCCCTTATAGACCCCTCCCCTCAAAGCATTTTCACCACCAGCGGCAGCCCTGTCGTCACACACCCACCAACCCCTCTACGTCAGCCGCACCACGGGGGGAGAGGCGTATAAAAGAGGGGGGACTTTGGAGGTAGAGGCATAAGAACCGACCAAGTCTCCAGTGACCAACCAACTAGTAATACAACCACCCGCACTGCTGCTGCCTGCCTTCTTTTACTCTTCTCTCATCACCGGATCTCCTAATTGGCTCAGAATTAGAAATATTCACTTTACTTTTCACTGTATAGCACTTTGGACTTTTTGGTACGCAGCATGCAGCTTTTGGTGATCTTAGCAGCTCTTATGGGGGTGGTCTTCAGCGTCAAAGCAGTCTCCGCTCTACCTGTGGATGACAGAACTCCGCTCCATGCAAGCAAGGTAAGAAGAAATTCATTTTGATTCACACATTTCTGGGCATTTTAAGTTAATGTGTAAAAATGTAGAAACTGAGTTTATTTTTCTCTTTGCAGGAGTTGAGTAAAGAGCGTAAAGAGTTGATATTGAAACTGGTATCTGGTTTGCTGGATGGAGCACTGGACACCAACATGCTTCCTGGAGAGGGGTCACCATCTCTGGATTTGGAGGAGCCACTGGAGTCCCGGCTGGAGGAGAGGGCAGTGTACAACAGGCTATCGCTGCCACAACGTGATCGCAAAGCTCCCTGTAAAAACTTCTTCTGGAAAACGTTCACATCCTGCTAACAACGCCAAAAAGCAAGACCAAAACAGAAAAGATAAAATGAAGAATTTGCGACAACGATTTTCCTGGGCAGACCACATGAACTGTAGTAGACCTCAGCTGTACATATCTCATCAGACATCTATGGACTTCACTGAGAGGCGTGTCTGTTTACTGAATATGATTTACTTATGTATTTATGTACAATGGATGTATTTATGTATTTATTTTAGGGCCAAATAAAGCATGATCTAATGTTTGACATGAGTTAACATGAGTTGGTTGATTTTTATTAGTGAAACTGTGCATTGCTAAAAATCAGCAAAGGTAACACTTTACTTTTAAAATTTAATAAATTTTTGTAGTTTACATTTATTTTAATTTTTTGTTATTTATTATTACCAATATTTAATAAGTCCAGGAGTACACATATAAAATGTGCATATTAAAAACAATAAGTACATTTTTATTCTCTAAAACATACTTTTAGATTGATTTTCAAAATACAAATTTGATTCCCTTTGTTTCAATCATTGTTTAAAAATCTATGTATAAGAACCATAATAAAAGAATGATAGAGGCTTGACAGAGAAGGGGAATAATCTGTTGTAGCAGGGACAAAGATCAAACTCCAGAAGTTATTTTTACTTTTTCCTGAAGTCCTGTTACTTATATATTCCAAATCCCCAAATTAAATCAGTTAAACATACACACACAATAATATTTTTACGTTGTTTTTTTTTTTTTTTTTTACTTATTTACCAAAAAAAGTGCTTCATTAATTCCTACAATCACAGCCACTGACCCACCAAAGGTCGATCAATTGTAGAAGTCTAGAAGACATTGTAGAAGTCTATCAATCAAATGCTGCAAACCCAATGAACTCAATTCCACTAATAATAAGGAAACTATATGTGCCACTGTAAGACTAACCCAGCCTATACAACACTGGTTCATACAGGTCACATTCCATAACTCCGGCTGGGATAAAGGCATGACCCTATCAATAAGCTTTTCGATTTTAGATACCAAAAATCACCTTTGACGTAAGGAGCTCCAATCCTTTACAAAACAATTACCACACGCCCTTGGAGCACTTCTGGCATCCAGCCTTATTATATGTGTGTTTTTTTAGTCACCACCCACTGCGTTATAGACACCGGCCACAATCAAATATCGACCTGCGCAGTTCGTTTTTATGGGGTTGATGAATATGAGGTGGGCAAATTACATTCAGGTGCAGTTTCCTGCTGTTAAAGCCCGTACAAATGGCGTTCGCACACAGATGGCTAATCATGCCGTGAATAAACAAATAAAAACAGCACTTTGCAACGCACTCAGAGAAAAGGTTTTACTCACGGGAGCCCCGCTGTTATAGTCATGCAATAAATCAACTATTCTTCTCCCATTGTTTTGTTTTTTTGTGCCACTTTACACTCAAACTTCTTGCGTAAATGTACAAATACTTTGTTGAGTGGCGTTACTAATACAGTATAAATAACAGCTTGTCATTATAGGAGTGAGTCAACATGTCAAGTCAAAGTGAATAGGCTTTCTCTTTGAAACCTTTTCAATTCTTCTTTTTTAAATGCTCATAGAAACATCACATGCATACAATTGTCAAAACATTAGATTACTGTTGCATTATCTCTAGTAGGCTACAGCAAGCTGAACAGGTTCGTAGTACGCAATAATGTTTTTCTTACCATGTCTACAAAACCTTTCACCATCTTAAAGGAACACAATATATACAATATACAATATTCGTCATTGCACATTAAAGAGATATAGCCTAGCACTGCCGATTCAACAATCAAACTGGTATATAAAACTATAATTTTCATTGTTGCTCTAGTTAGAATACAGATAAATATAATACTTCAATCAGGTCGTGCATAAAATGATTACCAAGAATTTTACAGCACAAATAATAACTACATTTTACAGCCTTAATGAAGCATAAGAAAAGACTTAATTCATAAAGGACAAATAGTTTACTGAGAATGAGTCAAGCTTAGTTACTGCTTTTAAGGGTTTAGGGTTAGTGATATTTATGCCTGAACCATTCTTAATAATCTATTTGTTCATTATTAATTCATTATTTCTTCATGCTTTCCATCGATCCTTTCATCCATGTTCTTCCGCTTATCTGGACCTGTGTCACAGGGGTCGCAGTGTGAGCAGGGACTTCCAGACTTTCCCCACCCCAGACACTTCCTCCAGCTTCTCTGAGGGGATCCAAGGCATTCCCAGTCCAGGCAAATGACACAGTCCCTCCAGCATGTCCTGGGTCCTCTCCAGGCCTCCTCTCTGTTTGACATGCCTGTAACTCCTCTCCAGAGCGGCACCACGTGGCATCCGATAGAGATATTCAAGCCAGCTCAGCTGGCTCCTCTTGACATGGAGGAGCAGCAGCTCTACTCCATGTTTCTCCTGTGTGACTGAGCTCCTCTCTGTGGAGGAAACTCATTTTGACCGCTTGTATCCTTGATCTTGTCCTTTCAGGCAGTACCCAAAGCTCATGACCATAAGTGAGAGTAGGAACATAGACTGACTGGTAAATTGAGAGCTTTGCCTTTTGACAACTTCTTTACCACAACAGTAGAACGACTGCATCCCTGCGGGTTCTGCACAGGTCCTCCTATCAGTCCTCAAGCTTTATTAAGGCTAATTAAGATGTACTTATTATAATGTGTTATAAAGCAAAATACTTTAATTTTAAAATTTAGATGTTCATGTTATTGCTTTGCTGGCAGCAGAGCAATAAAAGGTTCATCACAAAAATTGAGAAGAAATAAACCTAGAGAACATTAAAACCACTAAAAATTCATATGATTATAGACCTACTCATGTCCTATTTAGACAAAAATAAAAACAGGAAATAAATGTGGTGGTTGAACTAATTTCCTTCCAAATTGTAATGTTCTTACATACAAATAGAACAGTGGGTGATGATTTTGCTATTATTTAGCTCCCATTGATTCTGGGGAAACGGTCATTTTCCTGGCTAATCTGAACAGTGAACTAGAATGAACTACCTTGTTTGTAACAAGTAGATGTAACTTTTTACATTTATTCATCAAACATATAACTTTTATTAACATATAAACATTATCATTTTACACACTATTCTTATTCATTGACACCCCCATATTTCATCTTCTTCTTATGTAAAATGTATGTCCTTGCTAGATCTTGAATCTTATGGGGCCCCCAGGGGACAGACATAAAGTACTCACTTATCTATGCCTATCTCCTATCTCCTAGCCTATCTCCTGCAGCTTTTGTCTGACAGTGACGGACAACAGATGCACTCCTATATCACACTGAACACATGTAAAGACACAATTTAAAGCAAGTTCACAGTTCTGATTGATTACACTATAAAAAGGACGCTTTCTTCCTACTCACTAATCTCCTGCTGGGTTTGTATATGGGCTTAAACGTAAGGAAATGAACACGTTGAATTCCTTTTTAATGCAAATTTATACCAAAGAAGCACATGAACGTTACAGTTGAATTACAAAGCTCTATAATTAAACCGTTGTTGCAGCATCAGACCCCGTTTTGTCATAGCTTACAAAGACGCAGTGGTGGTGGTGGCAAGAACACCTGATTACATTGTTTATTCTAGATGCTGAAAGTTGGAGTATGTAACTTTTTTGCTTATATACATGGCGATGTTATTTCTTTGCCTTTTATCAATTAAGATATAGTTTTAAAATTTGTCCTCTGCATTTGATCCATCCTTCAATGCCACTGGGGCAACCTGTCAGGAGTTGTGTGGGGGCACAGTGCAGCTCCTGGGAACCCATCCCCAGATCTTGGGCTAGGCTTGGTCAGAACTAGTCAGCCTGATGCCACCCAGTGCCTCTGCTCAATTTCATTTCTCTCCAGCGACAAGGTCAGGAATTGGAATACACTAGATGTTTTGCAAAAACCCTGAAAGTACGAGTCAGGGTACCAGCCAATCAGCGAAGAACCATACATTCTGTGTTGACGTTTACCGAGATCGAGGATTTAAAGCTGAAACAAGGAGAATGTATGGTAAATTTTATCAAGGGGAAAGACGTTATTGCCCTTCCTCCTATGGGATTTGGGAAAAGCCTGTTAGCCCCGTTAGTGGCGCATTACATATGTCACAACCACATAGCGGCGATTGGTTAAATAAAAAAAGTACTCACCTACCGTCAAGCAAACGAATCCTAATGCTGCGAGGTCAGACGGTTTCCATGAAGTGAAACTGGCAAATGAAGCAATCTAGGTCAGGACTACTTAAGATGGAAAATTTTAACTATTATGCATGTTTTGGGTTGATTTTGGGAAAATTTTGGGGATGGGGAAAACATGAGTGCCCAGAGGAAACCTACCTATACAAACTCCAGTTAAAGTTCCACTGTGCGACTGTTCTGGTGTAGGGTCCGTCACTTAATTGTCTCCATAGAAATTTTATTGTGTTATCTAGGCAGGTTACAGCACCACACTACATTACACTTCATGTCTGTGGATAGTCTGCCCTACTCGCAGAAGGAATTATTGTATTTTTGAGCAATAGATCCCCCTGTAATGAATAAATCCTGGATGGATATGTTTAATGTCATACATGGGACATTTCAGCCAAAGTGATGACATTTCCATGAAGTAGGTAGGGGAAGCTCCACCAGAAAAGTTGCGCAGTGCACCTTTAAATAGACTGAGCAGCATAAGAGATGAACTGAGAACCTTTTTGTTGTGAGGCAAGAGTTCTAGCCACTCAACTGCTGTACTACCTAGATCATATCGTCATGGAGGCAAGCAGATACCTGACCCTCCACCGGAAAACTTACTCAGTGAACCTATCTTTTGTAGGTTATATTCAAGTTATATTGTTTTGTATTATACTTACATAACTCCTGAGGTTTATGCTACACAAAATGTTATGCCCGATGCTGTTGTCAATCACTTTTCCAAATATAAACAGGACAATCTGTGGGTTTTAGGTGCGTCCACTCCTAACTCTGCGCCGCAGGTCTAAATGAGCATACACAGGAGTGACTTCAAAGACGATGCCTGCAAGCAAGGCATTTTATTGGTTTTCCTTTTGATCTGAAAGAGGGGCCGGGAAGTGCTCAGGAGTAACTGTGTAATTCAAATTTCTCTGTGACTCGATAGGTGATGCTGAATGAAAAATAACAAAGACTTTTTATTATTTTGCTATTTCTCACTGTTGGTACGTCAAAGTGCAGCT